AAAAATAGTACTATTTTCTTTTAGTGACGTGAAAATGCTAGAGACAGAGAGAGAGGGGTGGGGGGACAAAAATGAAATGTGGTCTTTCCGAGGCGAGGGTCCAATCTGCCTGGGGTTGGGGTCTAGGGGCTGGTCAAAGCGATATAGAAATACCTTTGTTAAAATAGTGCTCAATATATCAATTGTAAAGCGATATAGAAATACTACTGTTAAAATAGTGCTCAATATATCAACTGTAAAGAGATATAGAAATACCACTGTTAAAATAGTACTCAATACATCAATTGTAGAGTAATATAGAAATACCACTGTTAAAATAGTGCTCAATACATCAATTGTAAAGCGATATAGAAATACCACTGTTAAAATAGTGTTCAATATATCAATTGTAGAGTGATATAGAAATACGACTGTTAAAATAGCGTTCAATACTTCAATTGTAGAGTGATATAGAAATACTACTGTTAAAATAGTACTCAATACATCAATTGTAGAGCGATATAGAAATACTACTGTTAAAATAGTACTCAATACATCAATTGTAGAGTGATATAGAAATACCACTGTTAAAATAGTACTCAATACATCAATTGTAGAGCGATATAGAAATACCACTGTTAAAATAGTGCTCAATACATCAATTGTAGAGTGATATAGAAATACCACTGTTAAAATAGTGCTCAATACATCAATTGAAGGGCTATATAGAAATACCACTGTTAAAATAGTGCTCAATACATCAATTGTAGAGTGATATAGAAATACCACTGTTAAAATAGTGCTCAATACATCAATTGAAGGGCTATATAGAAATACCACTGTTAAAATAGTACTCAACACATCAATTGTAGAGCGATATAGAAATACTACTGTTAAAATAGTACTCAATACATCAATTGTAGAGTGATATAGAAATACTACTGTTAAAATAGTACTCTATACATCAATTGTAGAGCGATATAGAAATACTACTGTTAAAATAGTACTCTATACATCAATTGTAGAGCGATATAGAAATACTACTGTTAAAATAGTACTCTATACATCAATTGTAGAGCGATATAGAAATACTACTGTTAAAATAGTACTCAATACATCAATTGTAGAGTGAT